AGATGATAGACTGTGGGGCAGTTCATTATCTCTCTTAACTCGTTCATTATTTTTGTTTTTTATTCTGAGAACACTTAGTGAATAATTGGTGTTTTGTCAGGCCAAGGGTGTGGGCACGTGCATTTTTGTATACATTCATATACCAACCAACATACATCCATTTATCTCCAACGGTTTCCCGTATCAAAGCATTTTCTTAAACTGTATACTCTTAAACTTGATCGCTAGGGATATGTTTATTAGACTCTGAAGTAGCTGTTTGAATTGCTGTTTTTACCTTTTACCAGTAGAGTTTGGTTCTCCCACAGTGCTATAAATATTAAATAAAGACACTAAGAGTTTATTAGTGTAATATTTTTTATGGGGACATGGTTGAAAATGTAACCTATAAAATTAGTAACGGGAGGATGAAAATTACACATTGTTTCTATTAGATTTTACAGCCAACATTTTTTCCTATTTATGCTTTGTTTTTCTTGTACAGAAGGAGAAGGGCTCTGAGTATTTTATTAACAGCCAGAAGCAAATCTGGTTGTGTATTGTGAGATAGTGCAGAATCCACTGTAAGCTGGAGAGGGGCAGAAGTAGGACTCCGGACTTAAACATAACATTGCGTGTGAGTGGAATGGATCAAGTCGGTTTTTCTTTCCAAAAAACACTAAAACAGCCCCATTTCCACATCCTTCCAGCATGGGCACAGCGCCTGGGCACCCGCGGACGCTCATCCCCTCAGCGCAACACAGACAGCATCCTCTCGCCTCCCCTTCAGCATTAGCCTTCCGTAGGCACGATGCTTTAGTCCGAGAACTCCACTGCCTATTTACATTTGTTACTGGGACTCTAAAGTAAGACATTTCTTACTTTTTGAGCCCGGTGCTAATTTGGAAATAGAATCTGCTCCTATTTGCTGTTTGAAGTGCCCGTAAAAATCCGTTTCCCCATTTAAAATGTCTGTCTTGTATGTGGTTAACCTGCGCGTGGGCAATGGAGGCGGTGCGGTCCGGCCGTCGGAACGCGAAACGGAGAGCCTGAGTGTCAGGAGTCAGGTCGGGGCTGTGCTGGGGGCTCCCCGTGGGGCCGCGGGGAATTCCCACTGCTGTAAAACAGTTCTCTCACAGAATCGCAGAGGGGTTGCGCAAACGTAGAGAACAAATGCCTCCAAAATGTGGCCACGTAAAAGTTTATACTGCATACTTAACTTTCTCCAAGAAATGAAGCTTTCCAATGAGGCACAGCACGCGCTGTTCCACATCAGCACTTAATGGAGAAATCAGTTTGCGAGAGTGTAATGCGCTCACAGGGGGAGTGGGAATACGTACATTTTTTTGGTTAACTGTATGGTTTCATGCCAGTTTATCGACAACAGGTTCCTATCCGCTAGGAAGCCGTTTTTTTTCCTTTCTGACGTGGTGCCGGGCAGGGCGGTGCTGGCGGGACTGCCAGCCCCTGCAGACGCCGGAGAAGACGGGTGAGCGCAGACGCGTGGGAGCGCTGGGCCAGAAGTGCCGGGGCGGGAACACAAGCGATGCGCTCAAGATGGCACAGAAGGGACATGTCTGTACACACGCAGGGCTCCGCAGGTTACCTGAACATCTGAAATTTCCTGAGGTTACAGTTAAGCCATGCTCAGCGTCCCGGTGCTGGCAGCGGTGGTGCGAGGGGTGGATTTGGCGGCTCAGGTTTGTCACAGCCGCGCCGGGTGTGAAAGGAGCCGTTCGAGAGCCGCCGCTGGACAAGCAGGCAGGATCCCGCTGTAAATAGTCTGTGTATTTGCTGCTTTGAAGTTCATCAGGAAAGAAGCATTTTCGCAGCGATAATCCTCGAAAACCGTGGTGAAAAACAGTCCTGAAGGGACCCGTGTCCTGAACTGTGGGATGATGTCCCGCCAGGGGGTATATCCTAATAAATAAGCATTATCCCTCCTGCTCTCCCAGCCCTCTGCAGCTTGCCAGAGGGGGCACTTTTTAATGGACTAGGAGAAGTTAAAGGAGAATCCTGAAGGATAAGGCTTTAAGTGAATTCTTTGGTTTATACCATTTATAGTCCTATTAAATTCAATATATTTTCTCAGACGTTTGGGGGGCAAGGAAGTTCAGTGTATTCGTACATCTTTCAAGATCCTCGCTTGATCATTTGACTCTGGCCAGCTAGCTTAACAAGCTAAATAATAGAAGGGAACAATCCAAACTTGTTGAATTTTTTTTTCACCCTGTGACTTTTTTGAAGAAAAATACCTTTTTTTTTTCCTCAGGTGCCCAGCAGTTTGCTGCAGACTCCTGCCGCTTCTCAACCCATCACTCAATACATGTTTCAGCATCTCCAGTTGTCGTAGTTCCTCCTTCCATAGAGAAGCAATTAAAAATGATGAGGGTAAAGGGTTAAACCTAAAAGCCTGCTAATGAGGGTGCCTTCTTGGTTTTCTTTTCATCAGGCATTTGATGCTGTTTTCAGCATAAGCTTTCGATAAGCATCACTGAACATTTTTCCAGAGTATATTAAAAAAAGTTTTCTTTTTTTACCATCCTGTAGAAATGATAGATGTGTGGCTCTGCTGTTTATCTGAAATCCTAATTACTGATGCTGCAGCTTTTGAATGTTAAATTCATGCAGTGTTCTTTAGACTTCAAACTGGTCAAAGAAAGATGGATTTGTGTCCACAGAGAGATCTAAGTCTAGTAAACAGAGCCAATGTTTGTTTGTTTGTTTATTAAATTATTTTAAAGTCAAGAGTTGCATCAACTGCAAATTACATAGACTTAGAGCTTTCTATAGGAGAAGAAGAAAAGAAAAGCAAAAGTTTTCTGCCATTGAATGAAATTTTAAGGTGGTAAGAGGTGGAATTTGAAAATACGGATGAGAACTCCTTTCCTTGAGCTATGTTACTTATTCTAGAACAATAGGTTGATATTTTTTTTCCTCAAACCTATACACGTGTATTTGGAAAAAATATTTTATATGTGTGTGTATGTGTGTGTGCGCGTGTATATACATATACATAGATTTATATATATTGGTGCATCTCAGTCGTCACGTAACATCCCAAGGAATCATTTCGCGGGGCCGCAGGGAGGATGAGCCCCGGGTCTCTGCTGAGTCCGCGCAGCCACGTGGTGGGTGCGGGCGCGGGTCGCCGGTCCCTGCGCCGTGCGGGGTCGGCCCCAGAGCAGTGGCCGCAGCTCTGCCCGGCAGCGGCTGAGCGCGGTCAGCCCCAACACTCGGGCGCTGCTGAGGTCCTGAATTGTCTCCCCGCTGGGGCTGAAACCTCCGCGGAGCCACCGGGTGAGCCATGGCCCGTTCGCTGCTGGTTGGGCAGTTCTGCGAGGTGTGATCCCCCGTAGGGACTAAATCTTACGGAATCCATACGTCCGCAAAGCCTTTCTGTGTTGGCAGCTCCTCAGGACTCTTTGGAGAGGGGTTGGCTGTGTTAATTCATTGCCGCGCGCTCGTCTACCTGTGCTACCTGGGAAGAGGGTTGTGAGC